TTGAACAATAATTGAACAAATAGTTTGACCGATTTCAAATCTAGTGAGCCAGTTTATTTTTTATTTTTTGCGTGTGTACAAGTATACGATGCGATGATTAAACATTTTCACTGTCGTAACGGCCCTCCCGGGGTGAGACGTGATTCCAAAGTGGCCCGCGACAAAAGGGAGTTTGACACCCCTGGTATAATACAATATTGCAGACAAATGATGAGTTTATTGTAACGCAGTCATGAGTTGTTTTTGGCAGAGGATACAAATATGCCTGAGCGGATTGATATCGTCTGTCTCCATGTGTTGCTGCACTGATTGTGTATAAATATAAAGCTGTCACATGGATGCTATTCTTTAGCCTGTGGCATTTCCGATTATGTGTTAGCATTTAACTTAGCTTAGCTTAGCATAACATTTCTGCTTTTCATAACTTCACTTTGGAAATCAAATCATCTTTTTCAGGTGAAACTGTGGCGCTCACATGCAATCCAGCGCTCTGAGCTTGTGCGCGGTCGGACTGAGCGTGAAGCCCACGCGGGGAGTCAAGTCTAGGCTGTCCTCGGACACCCCTGGGGGAGGTCGGAAGCGGAAATGCTGAAGCAGTGTGACGAAGAAGATGAAGAGCTCCATGCGGGCCAGGCTCTCTCCCAGACAAGCCCTGCGACCTGCAAGCGCAATCAGTAAATGGCGCGGCCGTGAGCAAAATTTTTCCGTCATGTGTCATTTCCCCACCTGCAGAGAAAGGCATAAAGGCATCGTTCTTGACAAGCTTCCCATCCTTATCCAGAAAGTGGTCGGGGTGGAAGGAATACGGCTTTTCCCACTCGCTCTCGTCATGGAGGACGGACGTCAGGAGGACGTAGACGGTGGTGTTCTGCGCAACAGTAATCTCGAGAGACAGTTCCAGTCCTGAGAAAAGGTTTTAGTGTACCAGTCTTACCTTCTTGATAAAGTATCCTCGGAAGGTGACATCCTGGCTGGTCCGGTGAGGGACGGCTATGGGTGCGATGTTGGCCAGCCTCTGCGTCTCGTGGATGACG